TCGATGGCTATATCACAAAGTTCCCCCAATTATTGGGGAAACGGGATGTCTCTCTGTTTGTAGTGGTAGAATGGGACCCCAAGTTCCCCTTACCCATCAACAACGAATAGAGATACTCCCATGAGGGCAAGGAGTTTTCGGTCCCCGTTAGCCACTCTCAAGCTATGTGGTGCTATGCTTGCAAGTTGCAAACATAGAGGTCACTTGTGCACCCCAATGACTCATGTCCAAACAATAAAAAAACAAAGATGGAAGGAATGGTCATTCCTCACCCGATTAATGAGAAAGTTGGTTCCTGGAGGAGAAAAAGTTGGAAATGGCTCTTCACAATACATGAAGACGGTCGGCCTGGGAAATGGATTTGGCAGGGGACAGGCCAGTTGTTAGCCTTTCCATTCGGGTCCAAGATTCGGATCAGTAATGGCCAAAAACATAAAGGAAAACAAGGGACCACGCCGGAATACGCAGAGTGTAGAGACAAACCCAAGCATGACACAACCACCGTGGGCACATAACGCGCCATTGAGGGGAGGTCCGGGTCGTGAGGAAAAAGCGGAGGAAGACAAAACAACACGATGCTCTCCTCTATCCCGACGGATGCTAACGCTGCCTGGACTCTCCAAAAGATGCATCCCTCCCTTTGCCCGCAAGGACAATAAGCTGGATGCCAATCGGTGTTGAGCGCACGGTCCTTGCTGGGGGGACCTTCGCGGCTGCGTCACGCAGGATTTGCAAATTCACGAGTCGCTTCACGTAAAGGGAAGTGGCGGAACCGCACCGGTCGAGTGCGCCAGCTATACCTCCATCGAGTCCCTACGACAAGATAGGGTCTCACGAGGTACATCTTACCTCTACCCGCAGGAGTTGTCACCATCCCTTGGGTGGGCGTATCCCCACCGAGCTACTGAGCCACTTGCAGAAGCATTTTCGTGCAATCGCAGAGGTGGCTCAACCGAGGGTGTTTCTCGTGCTCTGTAGCATAGGGGGTCCGTGCGGTCCACGCTTATCTCGGACCATGTACACGAGCCATCGCGAGGGGTGTTGGTCTCCCACACGCGTTTCGACGTTGGTCGACTAGGACATCCCAACTTAACCACGCGACACACAACGAAAAACTAGAAAAACTAACTCAAACAACCATGTAAGCCCCTTTTTTAAAGGTTTTTACCCATTACTCGAAAGAAGTTAAACTGTATGAGCGAGGCTCGCGCAAAGTTGCATAAAACGAATGCGTGCTCAAAGGGGCCCATAACGCTCAGTCATGTGTACTCACTTGATCGACTATCATGGCGACGGTTCATGCGTTACCCACAACCGCGCAACCTCTTATGGGTTTCAGGGTTGTGCACGACACTCAAATGTCGAAAGCGAAATATCATGAAGGGACCCTCCTTCACAATATTGAACAACAAAGGATAAGTCGTTCAGCCATTGCGCACCCCTGTCTTCTAGGCAGTGGATGGCAATAGGCAAGGGGCGTAGGTCCGGCTCGTGGGGGAAACTCTTTTGTGCGCGACCAAAACCTGGGATGTCCTGGTCAAGGACCTCTAATTCCAAGCTTGGACCAATGTCCGGCTAATAATCTAAAAGCAAACATGTTTAAGATGGGGTTCACTCGTTCCTCCCCTGTGGAAAGACAATAGTGGGGACACTAGGGGTTAGTTCCGGTCTTAGTGGGCAATTCACCTTACCCGAACCGAGTCTAAGTCTAGTCGAAGGTCGAGCGTTAAACCTTGCGCCTGACCACTCCTTCCTTTTCGCTAGATGCGTGCGGCAGGAGGAAGTGTAAATAAAAAGAAAAAGGGAGGTCTCAAAGAAAATCGGGGAGAGTCATTCTCACAGCCGCAGTTGAATCTTATCACTCACACGCCGCATTCAATCATCATAATCATCCTCAATTTAAGAACGAACCCTAGCTCCTATATAAACATGTTATTCGTTAAAACAATACATTATTGTGTGTACTATTTTCAAACGAATTTAGGACATATTGTATATTTTGGTGTAGTATTCGAGATCCGGACACATCCGGAGCAGGAGTAAAATCACTTTTGAGTTTGAGGACCGCAGTCGATATGTGCAAAGACACAGTCAGAGTTACTTTCGAGTCGTACTTGGAGTTTAACATCGGACTCATCCGAATCAGAAAAGTATAATGACTTGAACTCACGCGTGTGAGGAGCACATTGCGTTGACGCTCTTCACAGACGATTGTGTAGATTTGAAGGCCGTTGTTATTGAACATATTCCAGCATAGATAATGTTTCGCATCGGACATATCCGACTTAGAGGAGTAGGATAACTCATATTTATAAGTGTGAGAAGCAAAATGAAGTGCGGTTCTACACCGATGATTGTGTACGTTTGAAGAGAGAGAGAGAGAGAGAGAGAGAGAGAGAGAGAGAGAGAGAGAGAGAGAGAGAGAGAGAGAGAGAGAGAGAGAGAGAGAGAGAGAGA